GGATCCTTGGTATGGGCTGCTTAAGCCTTCATGGTGCAGTCGTTGATCTGAGATTCAATACAATAACGTTATCAACAGAACAAGCTGTACCGTCGCACACTCCGCCCCAAAAGTAGGTCTTGAATGCATTGGACGATCAAATCACCATTCTTTCTCGATCCAGCATCAGTATTTCTGTCAGCTCAGAGAAATCCGAGCGCCTGCAAGGCGTCATTCAAAGCAACGAGCAGCTGTTGATCAACCGTTAGATTTGCGACGCACGAGGAAGAGCCATGCTGAAAGGGGGCGAAGCAACAGTGTTGCTCATGAATTTAGGTAATGCGTACAAACACGTCAGAAAAGGCATGACGTTTGCCAATATTAAAGAAATGGCGGAAACCAGCAACGGTTATCGCCCTCACCGAGCCCATTAAACCTGCTATGACGAATTGAGGTCTCCACGAGAATTTTATTGATATTGATTGATATGTGGGGTTTAACGTCCCAAAACCACCATATGATTATGCGAGACACCGTAGTGAAGGGCTCCGTAAATTTCGATCACCTGGCTTTCTTTAACGTGCACCCAAATCTGAACACACGGGCTTACAGCAATTCCGCCTCCATTGGAAATGCAGCCGCCGCATCCGGGATTCGATCCCGCAACCTGCGGGTCAGCAGCCGAGTACCTTAGCCACAAGACCACCGCGACGGGGCTCCCCGAGAATTTCGACGTCCATCCGAGGCTTCTGAAGCATAATCAAGAACAGTAGAATAGCGTACTCCGGGAATGCGAAGATTGCTTTTCATCATCGTCAAAAGTTTGGCAGACACCAGTAGCAAAACATCGCATCGTAACAGAGAAGAGTACCAGAGTATGACATCAGAGCCCGTACAGTTTCGATGCGAGAGCGGGAGGCATTACGGAAGTGAAACGAAGAAATGTTATGCGATGATGTCATACAAACGTCCAAGCGTTCGTCTGCGTAGTCTGCGATGCTAGTGAAAAAGAACGACGTCACCCTACGCTTCTGCATTGATTAATGCGTCCTGAAAAAATAGACAAAAGTTTGATCGACTACACAGCGCGAGGTATGTTTTGTCAATGGTGCTCAAGACCGGCTATTGGCAAATTTAACTTTAGGAGAGACCGAGAAAAAACCGCCTTTTTAACAACAGGCAGCGTCTTTGAATTCAAGATGATGCCGCCTTTTAGTCTTCTCTCAGTCTCCACAACTTTCTAACGCGCTATGAGTACTGTACTCGCTGGATTGAAGTGGCAGAATTGCATCATGTACTTGAACGATGCCGTCGTGTTTTCTTTAAGCTTTGACGAGCATCGCTTGCTCCTTCAAGCTGTACTTCAAGCAATCAAGATCTCAGAACTCAATCTCAAGCCAGAGAAGTGCTGTTTCGCGTACGAGGAACTCGTGTTCTAAGGCCACGTTATAAGCAAGGCCGATGTACGCCCCGACCCGCAGAAGACCACAACCATCACTTCTTTCTCTAGCCAGCCGAAAAGAAGGCCGTCCGTCAATTTATTGGCCTCTGCGCCTAACACAGGTGGTTCGCCAAAACCTTCGCCCGGATCACCAAGCTACTCATTAACCTTACTAGGTCTAACGTGGAATTCAAGTGGGGAACAGTACAGGTGGAAGTATTTCAAGAACTAAAACGACGCCTTCAGACGCTTCTGTTGCTTGCGCATCTCGATGAATTCACTGAAACAAAATACATACTGACACAAGCAGTGTAGGACTCGTCGCCGTTTTTATGCAGAGGACTGACGGACAAGAAATGCCATCAGTTATTCTAGCCGGCCACTATAAAAGGCGGATGCCAACTATTCTACAACAAAAAAGGAGTGTCTTACTGTCAGTTTAGCAACTTCAAAATTTTGCTCCCCACTTTACGGCAAGCCCTTTAAAGTTGAAATGCACCGCCACTCCTTCTGTTTGCTGGCAAACTTGAAAGACCCTTCGGACCGTCTCGCAACGTAGAACCTGGAACTGTGAGAGTTCATCATTTATGTCATTTACAAGTCCTGAAGAAAGTACTCTGATGCCCACTGCCTGTCCCATGCCTCCGATCGATGCACCACCGCAGAATAAACAGGATGATTACTGGTTCTTAGAAATCGTATGCGCCGATGATTTCGGTGAACGACAGCGAACCGATCCGAAACTCAGGGGCCCTAAAGAATACCTTGAGGGCAGTGCTGCTGTTGTCCTGAAGGTAGTAAAGCCAGCGCTGACCTCGTTTATATTGCGAAACTGCGTTTTGTAAAAGAAAGACTTAAAAAGATACATCTAGACATGTATCTTCTTGTCATGCTTTTCGCATTACGACCAGAAGTACTCCAGGCGCTGCACGACAAACCCACGGCCCGCCATTTGGGTCTTTCTCGCACGCTCACCTGAATACAGAAAAATTAATACTGGCCTCACCTTCCTTCATGCCGACGCTGCTCGTTACGTGAACACTTGCCGAGATTATCAGTGACGCAAGACCTCACCGACTAATCCAGCTGGACTTTTACAGCCCATTGAGCCACCACATTGACCATTCAAGGAACTCCGCACTGGCCTACTAGGGCCGTTTGCTGCCTCGACTTCAGGAAACAAAAAAAAATCATGGTCACTACCGACTACCTCACACGTTTCCCAAAACACGGGGCCTGCCTAAAAGCAGTGCATCCGAGGTAGCAACAGGCTTTGTTGAAAACACCGTTCTATGGCATGGCGCACTGAAGGCCCTCATCACCGACAGAGGTACTACTTTTACGGCGGACCTAGCTCAGGTGATCTTGAGGCACAACCAGACAAATCATCGCCGAACCACCACCCACTATTCACAGACAAATGGCCTCACTGAACGGTTAACCAAGGCCATCGCCGTAATGCTGATTATGTACGTCGATGTCAAGCACAAAGGGTGGAACGCCATTCTTCCGTACGTGACTTTCGCATACAACACGGCATTGCAGAAACGACGTAGATGTTAGGTTACAAGTTGGCCTATGAAAGGATCTCGACAACGATGCTTGACGCCATGCTGCCAAACTTCGCTGATGACGAAAAGCTTGACGTAACCTTCTGCCTTCAGCGTGCGGAAGAAGCTCGTGATCTCACCCGCTTGCGCATCAAAAATCAGCAGGTGGCAGACAGCCGCCCTTCCAACCTTCCACGAAGCTTCGTGTAGTACCAACGAGTTACCGTGTCTGGCTAAGAACGCCAATACGCCGACGTGGACTCAGTGAAAAACTTCTGCAATGATACTTCGGACCCTAGAGAGTAGTTCCACGTCTCAGTCTCCTCGACTACTGGGTTGTTCGCAACGGCATTGCGAACTCTTAATGAGTCTGTTCTCGACCTGAAATCATTCATATCGTGCACCTCAAGCCATTTTGTGTGTGAAACTCGGGACGGTATTTTGTTGTTGTTTGTGTGCTTCATTGTTTCTAATTTTTATATTTATATTTTTATTGTTGTATTGAAGTCTTTTGTTGAAGCATCGAGACGATGTTTTTTTCACAGGGAGGCAATACAACAGTCTCTCCTCAAGTTTCGCTATCGCCCTGTTCTCTCTCAGTAATTTTCAGCGCGAACCACGCCTACAGTGTTCGAGAAGCTTCACGACTGCAGTAGATCATTTTGGTAAGATTACGCACACTTTGTGAACAATATATATTATTCCAGACTCAATGTCGCCTCTGACGGTAACGCTAGAATATTCTATGGCAAATGTATAGGTGCCGACTTGTTTCGCCGCTACTCAGTTGATCGACGGCGGACGCTCTGCTCGCCGCTATCAATAGCAGTGTATTGATGTACGCTTACTTTCCTTTTACGTGGCCACAAGTTTGTCCCAAATGAACAGTCTAATATTCGATCTGCAGTCTGCGGCCTTCGTTCATATCACAACCCCTTCAGAATATCCTCAAACCTGCTGCAGTGACGAGAAAATAAAATTACTTTGCCATGTTGCCCGTAATATACTGTATCATATTCATTGGGCAGACAAGGTGGAGCTCACTCAAACTCACTCATTAAATAAATCTTCCGCTTTGGGCTGGCTCAGACTCAGACTAATCAAAGCTTTCTTGAGACGGACTCCCGCGTACTAAGCGCAGCAAAATATTACTCACTGGATTCACTCAGACTCAGACTCCACCTCACTGCTCCATCTGAATCTCACTGACTCTGAACGATTCGAATCGAGTAAGTTCGCTTACCCATAATCATATTATTAGCTGAAATGTGGTTATTCTTGTTGCATATACGTTCGCAAATGGATATTGATTGTAACGACAAAAGCCTTCAAATTTACCTTCATAGGGATAACCTTCTCGTTTAAAGAGAAGTTTATCATCAGTGAGTGTGTTAACTGGAGCCCTCAATTATATTCAGAACCCACGCTAACAATTGACAATACTGACGATATTTCTGTCTGTATTGACACCCGTTTAAAAGAACATAGCTGGTGCTAAAACGTCAATTAAAACTATTCAAAATTGTTGAAGGGTGGGCAAGTTGATGCTTTGACATAGAAACCAAAGTGAGAGCGCAGCTAAACACGACACACAAGAAGAAACCGATGAGGGCAGGTGCCTTGGATGTCCTCGTCTGTTTCTTCTTGTGCGTCTTGTTTAGTTGCGCCCTGATGATGGTTCGCGTAACCATTCAGCAGTTAAAATAGCAAAGAGACCTATCAGCTCGTGATCTGAAATTTCAGGCTGGTGATTTTACACTTAGGGGCAACCCAAGCAAATATATAGCAGGAAAGACCTATTTTGAGTGTGACCTGTTTCAAACTCCTATACGGACAATGCCAAATGGTGGCAAAATTATTAGCATCAACGAACGGTAACTTCTGCTATTTTTAGGAGTCCTCAGCGAAACTTTTTTGTAGTTGATGTGCTTGCACACAACCATTCTTTGTAAATTTGAAGTTCTGTGTCTTTGACGAACGTTTCACTGTTAGGTGGATCAACGCAGAAAAAGATGTTGTTTAGTACTTACTTCCATGGGCCTTGCATACCATTTGTATCACTGAAATCAGAAAAACAAGTTAGTTCGAATAAAACGTCGTTGCGGTCTTCATGTTACTGCCCAGTGTTCACCTAATATGCACGAGCAACTCAAGTCACTTCATCATCATCATCATCATTATCATCATCATCATCATCACAATCATCATCATCATCATCATCATCATCATCATCCTAACTACGTCCACCGCAGGACAAAGGCTTCTCCCATGTTCCGCCAGTCCACTCGGTCCTGTGCCTGCTGCTGCCAGTTTAAACCCGCAAACTACTTATTCTCATCTACCCACCTAACCTTCCGTCTTCCCCCAACACGCTTGCCTTCTCTAGGAATCTAGTCAGATTAGATACCCTTAATAAGCAGCAGTTTTCCCACCTACGTGCTACAATACTTATGGAATTCAAGTCACTTATGAATATCCAATACTTCCATTTCCTCCTGCAGAAGTCATAACGTTCTTAGTAGACCTTTGTGAACTATTTACTATATGCAACTGTTTCAAGATGCTAGAAATATTCAGATCATAGTCATTCAAAGTGTGTGGACGCAGCCTGGTGTAGAAAAGTGGATAAAATATTTGCGAAAAGCTTTGCAATTATTGTCAATGTGGTAAAATGCTACAGAGGATTCCTAACCCCTGTATTATGTGACGAAAACGAGCAATCGCTTGTTTTTCTAGATGGCTACACTGTGTTGCCGCAAAATAGCTTTGCCGAGGTGCGATTGCGGCCAACAGATAGAACGGACAAAGGTGGATTTTTGTTCGATATTTTAGTGGTGTTTATGTATTCAATACAAGTGCGTGCTTACACAGTATCCCCTACATATGCTTATTACATACTTTTACATAGAACTTCCCATTCTGCCGTTAGGACTCTCACTCTTCTACATTATGCTATCCAACACATGCGGTAAAGGGGGTCAGTGTCTTTCGCGGTTTGTTCAGCGTGGCCAACAAACGCTTTCGCGTTAGCACTAATCAGTCTTCTTAAATTAGAGAAATTGCTATGCTTAAGAGCCTTCTGTTGGAATCGAAAACTGCCCGAAAAACACACACACGCACACAAGCTTATGTCTTTGTGTGGTGCCAAGAATGATCGAATTACCACGTTATACGTCATAGTTTTCTTCTACTGTACGTGCTATTGTTCATTCTAGGCTTGTACTGAGTTTCATTCATACGTCACAATTTCCTTTAGTGTAAAGGGAGTTTGTAAAGGGAGTTGCAAGCGCAAAAATAAATAAGAATTGTTGAACACAAACAACGTCTAAAAATCAGATAGTTACATCTCTCAAGCATGCCACGAAACCTAGTTAGAACTTTCTAACAGGATTTAGCGGCCCGGTAATATCCAGCATTGCTCTGATGTCTGGTCTAGCTATTCATTATCGAATGCAATTGTATAGATTCTAATTGCGACACCTCATTGCCGCATGAGAAAAATGAACAAGGTAGAAACTTTTTGTAGCATTTGATTTTCAAAGTCGTATACGTCGAATGGCGTGTCGTGGCTGGTCCTGACCATGTGCTTCCAGTTTGCGTGGTCTTTGATTCAGGCCGATAGAACATCGTCTGTGCTTTCGTAGAGTTCATTGGATGCCGTTGCGTTTCTGTCATCGTTTTTGCTTTCTATAATAGGGAGGTTGCCTCTAGTGTTACTTTTTGGCTGATGCCTTGACAGGTGAAAACATGGGCTAGTCTGTTGTACTTCATAGTGGACCTCACAGTGCAACCCCACACAGACAAATTAAAGAAGGCAGAAGAAGCACAGCGTAGACTCATGACTGAATTTCTCATTTCAAAAATGACACTTATAAATGTCGAATCAGAAATTATAAAACAATTTTGGTTGCGGATATCATCAACTTGACTGAGGTGATTCCAACAGCTTAAAATCGCTATCAGATATTATTTTCTGACAACCTTCAATCAGTAAGTGCGTTTCCGATGAAGCTTTAATTTATCGCTGTTCTTGTCTCAGAAGCTATTGCCACCTCAGAGGTTCTCGATGTAATTTTTGTCGAAACTGTTCATACTGCGGAACTGCGGAAGTTGGCAAGGAAAGTTGAAGAGAGAACGTGAGTCTGGTTTTCTCAGAAAGTTGATGTGGCTAATGGAGAGTCAGTACTCAGTATGTCTTGCCTGGATATGAAAGAGGCGTGTCAGAATGATCACGGAGCTCCTCAGAGGGTTCAGCAATTCCAGTCATAGTTGATGCCTCTTATAGTTCGCTTTGCACAGAGTTTAGTTATTCTGAAAGTGATGCTTTGTGTTGAATCTAAAGCAGCGCTGATGGAATGGAACGGAAAAACTATTGTTCTTCTGCAGGATCCGCTTTGCCCATAGCGGGCGTCTCCTACGTAGGAACCGATAGAAAATTCCTGGTGGCCACTTCGTGGACCTGCTCAGCCTCCTGAATAGAATGTCCCTTAAAAGCTCAAGTGGCTTATAATTGGTTGATTGTAGCAGAGCAGGCGTAATTGAACTTGGTTCTCAATAAAATTTTGGCATGGGCACTGATTTTTTGAAGTAAAACCTTGAGGTGAGAGACATATCCAATACTCGTCCACTCATCGTTGTGTAATTTTTTCATGCGCCAGGAAGCTATTTGGGAAAGCACTGAACGTGTGAGTTGTGTAGAAATTAATATAGAGAATAGAAAAACCACTTAATGCTAAACAAGCTGGAGGGTAACGTAAACAGGATTACGAAGCAACTGCATCGGGTGGTTACAAATGCTACGTGTTCCAATATGCAGTAAAAAAGTGTAAAGTTTAGTACTTAAGCTGTATTTTTGTTGCACCCAATATTATTGCGAAATAATGAACGACGACGCCACGAGACGTAGAGGGGATATTCTAGATGTACTGGTATTGCAAATACGTTGAAAGAACGTGGATAAAAAAATAAGTTCGTGCTGGCAATATCTGAACCTGCAGCCTACAGGTGACGCGCCCGTTGCTCTACCCCTGAGATATTGGTGGCAGTCATCCCCTCGTCCACTTAGGATGGTATCATCGACGTGTTGTTATGGCGCCTCTGATATGCGCAATAATTGCTTTTAAAGACGACAGTCTTTCTTGGGAACCTTCCACGGGAAAATTTTGGTCTGTCTGTCTGTCTGTCTGTCTGTACATTTGTCTGTTTGTCCGCCCTAACAATACCTCAACCGGCACTAAACGGCCGACCCCATCATACATATTCGAGTAGTCAAAAATGAAAATCATGGCATGTATGTTATGAATGTGATGATTTACAATCCATGGTCGTGCAGCTCTCGTGGTGGTTTCCTTCACATGGCATGTTGCTAAACTGGTATTGTATGACGTGATTGCATGGCGAACACAAGCGACAGACGCTAACATGAAAATCAAGACATGCGTGTCATGTAACAACATGACTACATGCCAGGCTCATGATGCGCTGGCGGCCGTTTCGCTAGCTTCACTTATACTAAATTTTGTATTACGGGACGGGAATGGATTGCGAAAGTATGATACTGCCACATACATGACAAAGATGAGATGCGTGTCATGTAACAACATGACTACATGCCACACTCATGATGCGCTCGCGGCCGTTTCGCTAGCTTCACATATGCCAAATTTGGTATTGCGTGACGCCGATGGATTACGAAGGTATGTGACTGGTGCAAACATAATCATGAGATGCGTGTCATGTGAGGACATGACTACATGCCACAGTCAAGGCACCAATACGTTTCGACTTGACGCGGTGCGCGTGCTTGCCGGCATTCATTTCGTCGCGTCACGCCGGCGTTGCCACGCCAGGCGCCGGTCCTGTCATATACTCCCAGGCGCACCGCGCTGCGTTGCTTTGACGCATGCGCATTTCAGCGAGTCTGGTGTCCCTCTGTCACGAAAGGGGGAGACGCAAATTGTCTGGGTAACGCATCGGCATAGAGTAATGTCTCTATGGCATCGGCGCGAAATGCAGCATGCGCCTCTCGCGCCGGTTGTTGTCGGGCCGCGCCGATGGACGCTGGTCGCGCTTGGCGTCAGACTACAGAGTTCTCGCGTTTTGATAACGTAGCTTCACCTTGCCCAGCGTGCGCGCACGTCAACGCTACATTGAAGTATATTGGGTTCTTCATGACGCGCTCGCAGCCGTTTTACTGGCTCCACATATACCAAATTTGGTGTTACGTGACATCAACAGATGACGATATATATGACTGGTGCAAACATGATAATCCTGGCAGGCGTGTCATCTAAGAACATGACAACATTCCACGCTAATAGCGTTCTCTTTGTCATTTTGCTAGCTTCACATATAATAAATTTATTATCACGTGGCGTGAATAGGTGAAAAAGGTAAAAGACACATCCAAACATGATAATAATGACATGGAAATCATGTACGGCATCATTTGCCTCCACCTCATAACAATATTTGTGGTGATTTTAAAGTGAGATATCAACAATTCTCATTCATGCTTCGCATATCATCGATTCCCACTGTACGTGGGATCTACCATTTTTTATAACGTGCACCTAAAGCTATTTGAAGTGTATACAGCGTAACTAACAAGATCCAGAGTGCACCCACCCACCGAGAGTCACTTCTGTTTACATTGAGCATCATACTACATTGGGCTTGACAATGCAACACCAACACGCCTTGTCTGTCATTAATGCACCAAATTCTGAGCACACTGTTACTGCGTTTCGCTCCCATGAAAATGCAGCTGGCGTATGCGGGGATCGTACTCGTGACTTCGATTCTAGGATCAAAAAACCTCATCATGCTAGTTTATCAGTGGGTGTTGCTTGCAAGACCAGTATGTATAAACGCTCAGCACGGGCGCGCAGCAGAATTCTGTTTACACTGAGTGGTGACGAAAAGCCTATAGCCATTATCTGAATAAAACACTTGCAAGGCTCACAGTATGGTATATTAAGTGCATCAAGCTAGCAAGCTCCACCGGATTCGCACTACCAATGGTTTTCTTGGAAAGCCAGAGCCCAATCAAGAAATGTAC